AAGCACCGCTTTGCTGATCTTTTGTTCTATAATTCTTAATGCAAACACCGACCCTAGTAGTAATTAGTAACGTCGCCTAGTACATATGAACGGTCGTCATTGCAAATCGAACATCCTTTTGAAATTTGGACGTCGGGCAGGCGATTTCAAGGCACCGCACTTAAATATTAGCAACATATTTTTCTGAGCGGTTGTTTATTCTCTTTCAAACGAGACATAAATGTGACGACATAGTCGATCCCTTATCCACCGCTAAGAATGCCGCAATGTTTCGTTCGTTTTGCAACATGCCACAAATCGTCGAAAAAAACACCACTTCGACGGAAGCTTGCGTAATAAGGGGGTTAAAACAAGAAAACAAATGCCATGTTTAATACATATCGACCTGTTTTACTTGCGAAAGATAACGGAACATGAACTCGTTTCGTGCGACTTCGGAACCCGAAGGAACACACCAACAACGTTGAATTTACCCGCTATCTTCCAAATATGGTATATTAATTTATTCAGTTGTTTATTTAGAGTGACGTCCGCGGTCGAATGCGATTGGCTATCGATGTCAGTGTAAAGGTCATATGAATATTAAAATTAAGTGGGCGGAAGGAAAATTGTATAGGAGACAAGCTGGAGTCTCGTGTGGCGATAGCGATAACACCGGGACGAATGGTCTGGGGTATTCTTACCTCCCCATTGCATTGTGCATATCTTGGTATGACGTAATATTCCCAGAAATACAGCTTCCACTGAATTCCTTTCTCTGACATGCATATCAACTATCTCATGACGGGCAAAATGGTCATAAATCCTGTTAATGGCGAGCCTCAAAGTAATTAAAGCAACAGTTCACTATGACTATATCATTATTTACAGAGAGTACAATCTGATCAGATGGTCGCCCAGAAATTGTATGCAGTACCAGTGTTTCTGTCTGTTGTTCTTACTGTTTGGCATACATCGCATTTCGCAATGCAGACCTCGACTTTTACATTCATATGTGTACAGTAAATATAGTTTTTGGCTTCTCTTGAACACACTCTATATCAATGCGAGATGAAAAGATATATTGCGTCATATTATTTCTTAGTGGCTTTTATATGGCCGTTATTTTGCCTGTATACTTAACTCATCACAGACATGAAAGTAAAAGGTTATTTGGAGCTCTGCTTTGCCTCGCTGAATCCATTCTATATTACTGTTTTTACAGCTGTAGACTATCGTCTATCTCAGTATGCAGTTTAATACCATTGTATCTCTGCTATGCAATGAGTATGCCTTGTTACATATAAACAAATTTAATGTCTATTTATAGATCATCTGCTGGTTTGTCGAATAATTATGCAATATGATAGCTCGATGGGTCAGCTAGATACATTGATTTCGCTTTTCTGACATACTAGATTCACTGGAATTGTGTGATCAGGCTTGCGATCAGATTTTATGGCATCACAGAATTGCTTAAGAATAGCCCCCCACCCTGTTATAGTTATTTAGTTACACTTGATGAGGTGTGACTAGTTGTATTACTTCTTTAATTGCTTGATCATAGACTTCTGACCAATACCACTCACTGTTGCCTTAATGATTCGCACAAACTTGGTCACATTGTTGACGAATCTAAATACCTGGATTTTAGTTAAATCTGTTGGGTTAAGAATTTTCATTATCGCTTTTACTGTACTATTTGCATATCTGTATTAATGACCAGAATTTATGGTTGTGATCACTGGTAGCTTCTTATCTTCTTCTTGTCAGTGTCACTCTGACGAGATTCAAGTATATCATTAACTATTGTTTTTAATGTTGACAATCTTTCAATCACCTCGACTACGGTGATATTAATTAGGCACCATATATATGCCAAATAACATGTGTAATTGACACATTCTATCAAATAAAGGTTGTCTTTCTGTCTAGCTCAACATGTCGGAAACCATTCATTACATACATTCGACACGTTAGCTTCATCTGAACTTTTACTGCAGTAGATACTTTCCTAGGAAGAAGAAGAACATGCTTCAAATCTAGGTCTATTATGAGATGGCACTTTTCTGCTAACGTTTGAGTTATTCTGCTTAAAGATTAACATACAATACCTTCCAACCAACACATAGGAATTGTGAGTTGAACTTCACAAGCGCCACATGATTAAATGAACGTAACTCGAAGTTTGTCAGGAGTCGATAAAAGTTATTATCTTCCATGTTACGGAATTTCGCTTTCCATTAGTATGAAATATTCTCGTATACTTTATAAGGGAAGTACACCACATGCAGTTATAATAACGACGTAGCGCAAAGCA